ACGACGACGACGACGACGACGACGACGACGACGACAACAACAACATCCTACGGTCAGCCGCTACACTCCGTTACATTTTTCCACGGTCCATCTATTTTGGAAACGTGCACCGAAAAACTGCGTCGTGACCCGGTTCACTTTCTCTGAGCTTTCGTTCATCGTTGACAAATCCGACGTACGTAGTTACATTTATTGCGGTCCTCTCGTGCAGTATCTCTTTATCTGCCCGGCACGATGGCAGAGGAAAAAGTTTCGCGCGAACGCGGAATCAATCGGTGAGAACGCAATTAACACCGAGTAGATCGTTGCTCCGTTTCACCCGTTCGTTCGAACACCTTCGACCGATCGACGTTCACTCGACGAAATTCGTCCAGCCGCGAATGAAGAGACCAGCGGAGATCGAGAAGAGAACGAATGCCCGACCGTCACGATCCGGCTCGACGAACCGGACAAAAGTCTCGATGTACGCGTTCGAGCCGCGACATCCTTGACACGGAGGTACGTCGTACGCATGGAAAATTCGCGGAATTCTCGGAAGGACAAGGACGAATTCGCGTTGACAGGCGGCGGCGGGTGGGTGAAAGATGGAAGAGCGGCAGAGACGGGGAGCCGAACGAGTTGAGAGATAGAGAGAGAGACGACGGGCCAGGAGCGAGTGGTAGGTACGCTGTGAAGGATCGGGAGTTTGCCCACCGCGAAGATCGATCGTAGACCGTGTGGTGTTACGAGTCTCTCAGGCGTAGGACGACGGTACGGCGACGGTGTCTAATTGCGATTAATTGAACTACTCACTCGACGAGTCAGGGCAGTGTAGCTTCATATACGCGTCCCGTAAAGTGTGTATCAAGCCATCGGAGCACGGCCGAGCTCGCGGCCTTTCTTCCGCAGCTTCGAGTCTAAAGCCACCGTCCGCACTGTTAGCCGTCGAAGGCAGGCAGCACACCGCACGCGCACAGCCGCGCGGCTACACCATCCTCCTCGACATCGGCACCACCACCGCCACCAGCAGTACCGACGCTAGCACCAGCTCCGCCGAGCAAAACAGCGTCGTCGCGAAAGCTCGTATGCGGAGCATATTTTCGACGGGAACGCGGCACCGACTCCGGCCATCGAAGGCCAGACGAGGACGGCGGTATCCAAGGTGGGGGAGGACCGATCCGGCGAGGAAAGAGGCCAGCGAGAACGAAAGGGAGAAGAGGAAACAGCTAACCGAGACTGGCCGGAGAACGCTTTGCAGAGCCGACGCCGCCGCCGCCGCCGCCGCCGCCACCCCCTCTGCTCCTCCCTGCGATTCCTCGTATCGCTCGTACGTGTGTGCACGAACCCCTGCACGCACCCACGCCGCACCGCACCGTGTCCGCGTACCCGCGTTCCACGTTCCTCTCGGGATGCGACACACGCGAAACGTAGACCGATGACACGCGCTACCGTCGCGACGGCTCGTCGCTCGTGTTCGTCCGCTTCGATCCGCCTCGGCCCGTTCGCCGAGCGTCCGATCCGTCCGAGTTCGAACACTCGTCCCCCGCGACGCGAGATCGAATCGTACCGGGGGTCGATCAGAGTTTAACGTCGACTTGGACGAAGGTCGAGCCTCGCAGACGCATCGCCGTCGGGCTCCTCGTTAAACGACCTCCTTCGCTCGGTACGGCTTCGCGCGCGTGCCCGTGATCGCTCGTGTCCCGTGTTACCGCGCACTTTTCGTCCGAAGACTAGAGCCGCTCTCTCGCCCGGCAACCCCTTCGAAAGCTTCCGCAGTCTCCCCGACACTACGCGGCGGCTGCTCGATTCCGGCCTTTCAGCGGCCGAGAAGCCCGAATTACTCTGGACGTTATCGATGACGAACGTATATAGCGCGAATCCTGGTCCATGTACCTATGTATACACCACCGTGCCGGATGAGTACAGAGGACGCCTGCGTCCTGCCACTGCCGCTTATACCGATCCATCCCTTAAAGTTCGTTAAACATCCCCTTTTCTCGAACCTCGCGCTCCAACTCGATTCTGCACTACGAACTTCGGTCGTGGCGTTACGATCGGTCGTGTGTCTCCAACCACAGGGACTGTTCTCCTTTAAAAGTGCATTTGGGTAACTGGTACCAGCTGTTTACGCCCTACAATTTATTAAACCCTGTCTGTAATGTTAACCCCTTGCACTCCCGTGTCGATCTCGGTTTCGTATCGAAAACCTTGCTACTCTCGAACGACACATCGTTACCTAACAGGCGTTGTTCTCCTTTAAAAATGTATTGGATCAGGCGCAGGAGCAATTCACTAAATGAATTGGACCCTCGAGAGTTATCCCTCCAATTCCCACAGTTTCTTGTAGGCATTTTCGTTAATCCAGTTTCCCAAATTGAATAACCGACACCGATGAACGCTTTCTATTACTTTTGTAAATAACAAAATTTTTCACGTGTCTGGAGCTTTCGAACTTTTACCGGTGGAAACAGGAATTTTTCACATCTTACGAGTTCTCTAAAGAAATCGCGTCCTCTGTCGTTCCTTTAATATTTTATTCAGAGATCATAAGACTAATTCGAAAAAGTTAAGAATCTGAAGAAATTCAGCTGCGAGGTAAAAAAGAATTGGCAAGCTGAGTGTAGAAACGAGCTGGATAGAGCACTTTAAAAGATTGCCGAGGTCAAACGTATATCCAGCGTTCTACGAGTAATTAAAATCTTTTTCAGGGACTGCGCCGAGGGAAATAGTCTTTTGAAGGTAAAATTTATAGCCGTAGCTCGATCAATCACGAAGCGAGATATGATGATGGCTTCCTATTAGGACGAAGTGATATGAAATAAATGAATGAACGACGAGTTTTAATATTAGAACAAAATATTGCTGTCGTAAATATTTAGTGAGACGAAGATCGATCGAACGACGATTAGAATTTTTTTTATAAACGATGATTAAGTATCGATTTTTGTGAATACATCGATTCTCTCGCAAGGTCGAAGGGAATCTCTTACGTATATTTTATTAAAAACGTTTTCTCTACGGAAGTAGACTAGACTAATCTCGCTTGCTTAGGTTTCAAGGCAGATCGCGTTCTTATTTATTCATTCTATAGCTATCATTCTTTATGCTGGGATCCTTTGGACATTTAATACGCTACTGTCCTGGGGACTTATTGATCAACGATCAGTATACATATGTATGTACTACATCGAAGTTTTGCGCACGCCGTTCTGTAGGACGTCGTCGATTCGCAGGTCCTGCAGTTTCATCTTCCGTCTTACGAAAAATATCGAAATGTTCGATCCGCGTTTTCAGACTCAACGAGACCATGTTCTTAACTTTTATTCTTCTGTACAATTCGAAGAGTAATTGCATTGATAAGTACTTTTTGATCAGAACAAACGACGACGAAGAATCGAACGCTACTGTAATATTACGTATGGCCGGATGAGGTGCAACGGGTATATGCAATATCAGGAAACGAGACAAGTGGATGGTCACGGACGCACCTTGAAGCGTTCCCGATAACGAGCAGCATACTAATAATACGGCTGGCATCGTCGGGAGGTCTCCCATAGCTTTTTTGTGAGTCACCTTCACCTCCAAAAGAAGACGTCTGAACGTAGAGAACCAAAAATATTTTTGGCAATATCTCTTGACCCGGGTTGTTCCTAATCATCTCAAGATGTGGAAAAAATAAAATGAGGTTCACACGAAAGAACAATGTCCACGATCGTGTGGTGAAATCTGTTAATCGTGGATTGCAGGACGCGTGGAAACGGCTGGGTCTGCCAGCCCTTATCTACTCAGATTTCCGTTCGCAATACGTGATACGCGTGGTCTACATAGTATGTAATATTGACGCATGACTGATTTTACGATTTCAAACTGCAGGACGACTCAAACGTACACGCGCGGTGATATTCAAGAAGACACGAGACACGAGTTTCTCTATTAGAATTTGTTGGACTTAACTTACAATAAATATACAGGGTGTAAACCTACTAGTGGGCAATATTTTAAGGACGA